GGCTTATGGTTTCCTGGATGAGCTGGGTTATTCGGGGAGGGTATGCCAGGCCTGGCTGAGCAGGGAGACCGAGGAGCTGCAGGTGGGCAGGTGAGTGGCGGAGAGCAGGCGATCAGGGGCAAACAGATAACACAATCATTGTCCAGCTCTCTAGAGCTCTAAACTCAGTTTTTAGTGCATCACATGAATGAGGAGGGGAATTGATGCCCTCCTGTGGAAACAAGCTGAAACTACATTGGTTCTGGTAAACCAATCACTGAAGCTCTTGGGAATATTACAGTACAGAATATTGGTGTACAGCGCCTTGTTTGGTTGTAATGCCATGTTGAATGCACTTTATAAATAAAATTGGATTGGATTGGAATATTACAGTAATAAAGTTACAATCGTTTATTATTATTTCAAAATAAAATTCTATATCATTTTATCATTGGCAACAAGCAAACTTGCTCTAATAGCGTATTTTCTCATTATTTAGCTAGAAACACAATAAAGACCTTGTTTATGTAACAGTAAACATATTATGGTTGTGCAGAATGGATGTAAATACTAAAACACAATACATATGTAGTGTTTTTGTTTGTATTATGCTCCTGTTTGATGATCTTTTTGCCATGTTTACATACACCGATAGTCAAGGTCACATAAGGTCACATGCTGGTGTTTTGCATTTCTGTTACTGATAAGATTTGACACAGTAGCTTTAAAATGTTCCTTATATGATGTGTATTTTATCTCTTGACAGACGATGCCAGGCCAAGTTTGAAATTAGTCATGAACATGTTTATAACATTTATGTAACTGTGCAGTCTCCAGACATTTGTTTTTACAATTGAAAACTGACAAAAAAAACCAGCACCATTTATCCTGCCGACAGATATTTGATTAGATCAGCAGTCCACAGTCAGACAGGAGCTTTTGCCTTTTTCACGTCTGAATCACCTTGCTGCCGCGTAGCGGCCAAACAGCATAGGACTTGTCTTCAGGTCAGCTTCCACGAGGACAGAAGATGGAGTACTCCACAAGAATAAATAAATCATCAACATCCTTTATGGAATTCTCTTTCACATATCAATTATTTAAATTTAACTTTAGCAAAAATCACATAGAATACATCTATTTTACATTCTACTTCTTTATTGTTTACGTAATTCAGTCTTTCACACATGGAAAGTGTATGAAAAACTCTCTTGAGGCTATTGTATTATGTTTTGTGATGATTTGAACACCTGAGTGCTTCCAGCAACTGAACTGGCACTAGAACCAGGCAGTGACAGGAGATGTATTTAGCTGCCGAAGGAGGCGCAGGACCTGTGTGCCTTAAAGCAGATCACTCACAATGGATGGGATAGAGAAGGATGTGAAGGGTATCTTTGTGTTCAAGGAACGATGAGCCCTGAGCAACCGTATCCGGAGGGGGCGAGGGTCCGCGCTGCACATTCAGGCCTGGCCAAGCCAAGCTGTCCACGGAAGCAACATCTCTTGCCTAACGATATCCAGTAATCATTAGTATGGAGCGTAGGGAAGGATCCTGGTCAGCCATGCAAACACTCAGATAGAAAGATAGATATAGCTCCTTCATAGGGTTCTACAACCCCCCAAGGGCTTCACAACACAATCAGTCATTCACACATTCACACGCTGCTGGTGATGAGCTGCAATGTAGCCACATCTGCCCTGGGGCTCACTGACGGAGGCAAGGCCTGCTGACCACCACCAGCAGGCAAGGTGAGTTCTCTGATTGGAGCCGGAATCAAACCTGCAACCTTGAGATTACAGCTCAACCCGCTCTACCTCCTGTCATAGATAGATAGATAGATAGATAGATAGATAGATAGATAGATAGATGATAGATAGATAGATAGATAGATAGATAGATAGATAGATAGATAGATAGATAGATAGATAGATAGATAGATAGATAGATAGATAGATAGATAGATAGATAGATAGATAGATGATAGATAGATAGATAGATAGATAGATAGATAGATAGATAGATAGATAGATAGATAGATAGATAGATAGATAGATAGATAGATAGATAGATAGATAGATAGATAGATAGATAGATAGATAGATAGATAGATAGATGAGACAAATGAAAGTTGCACTGACAGCCTCTCATTGGTGGGAACACAGACTTTAGAGTGATGCATTATTTAACCCTTCGATGCATGAATTATGAAATCTTCAACCATGATTTTTTAAACAATTTTTTTCATTCATCTTTAGGTGTGGATGAAACAAATTTCAACAAATATTTTTTGTAAAATTTTATAATTTACAAATAGTTTATTACATGTCCACCTCAGTGGACAGCGTGCATTCAGAACATGAAATATGTTGGCTTGGCTTACTGAAGTCCAAATGGAGGGCCTCAAATGCAATAAAGTCTTCAACAGTTGTGCTTAATAGCAAAAACAAATAAATAACAATTTTGAGTACCTGTCAACTGTAGTGACCATTATGCATCAAAGGGTTAATTTGGTAGCCTAAGGGTGGTGTTATGATGCTAACAGGGGCTACACGGGTTTCTGTGTCAGGATGGGTGGACAAACTTGTTTTGGTTGATCAGAAGCTCTGCTGTCTAGACAGGTCCCAGGCTCACATTCAGACTCAGACACTTGGCGTTAACAGGACAACTTTAATCCTCTGCACAGTTTATCATCGCAAAGCTGTCAGACTCTTGGTTCCACATTAAAAACCACATGAAACTAGCATTGATATCGATGGTGATGACAAACACAACATGCGCAGCAAAGTCATAAAATAAAAACATATGAACTGTTTATAGGGAACTCTGCTCTACCATGCGTGTATAAATTAAACATGAATCCAGATATGGAATGTTTATGATTTTCTATTAAAGCAAATATTTGACCTGTTAAGTAATGAATTAGGGATTATTGAGCCTTTTTTACACTCCTCTCACACCTTTCCATGCAGATTTGCAGGTTTTGTGGTAGTGGAACCACCAAACTTACAGGTGAAACAGGTGGGGGCCTCTATAATCATTTAGATCCAGTTTCCTTTGAAAACAAGTTGGTTTAATGTGTTTCCATAAACAAACACTGATGTGAGGAATGAAGCAGACACACATGTGCGTGTGTTTGTTATTGTCCAGCAACAGGTGGATGAATACCACAGAGAAAGTAGGGCTGCTGCTAACGATCCAAGGCATGTGTCGGGTCACTCTTTATGTGTGCATATGAACACACACACACACACACACACACACACACACACACACACACACACACACACACACACACACACACACACACACACACACACACACACACACACACACACACACACACACACACACACACACACACACACACACACACACACACACACACACACACACACGTTGGGTGCATTTGTTGCTGCTTGGGTGGGATGGAGCAACAGGGAGATCTGAGAGAAAGAGAGCAGTTGTGTTTTGGTTCAGATGTCACGTTTGGGTGTGGCAGCTCACACGGTCCTGAAGCAGGAGGGTCGTTTAAATGTGTTTCAGTCTCGATGTGCAGACTGGTGGGATCAGCAAAGAGATTCAAACCACAACGTTGTGTTTTAGAATACGTTATTCCAGCTTTTTCTTTGTTTTATGTTTATTTGAAAAGAGAAACCCTGTAATGTGACTGCTCAACAGTTGTGTTTGCTTCGTTAGTCTTTTGTGCTGCTTTGGTCCGCTGGTGTTTTGGGTGAGTTTTCCCAAAGTGAACTTGTTTTCTAATGGCATCAGACAAGCTGTCAGGCCGGCTTATCTCAGTAATAACAACACGTCTGGCCAGATAAGCATGCATGACTGACTATATATGTCGATGCTCCTCCCTGTTTACACTGTCTTATGTTTATATCTGCATTTTCATGAATATGCAGAAAAGACCTGAGCACCAGGAAGTGAATCCCACTCCCTATGAAGTTTCCACTTGTTTTACGGATCGTGCTTAACGGTGTTCGACTGAACAAGGTAGTGATGAATTTGCTGCAGCTCTCACATCCATCACAATAACCCCCATGTGATGTGCTGTAGTTTTAAATCTCAACAGCATGGAGAACAAGCAACATGTGATCTGTCCCAAAAAGATAAATTATGAGGCTTTTCGTTGTAACATTGGTGCAGCATGACCTCAGTCACCTTCATCTTCTGCAAGAAAAGAACTGCTGATTGGGGAACAGAGGCATCTGCAACCACCACCCTTTCTTCTGTCTTGTTTTCCCATCCCAAAAATCCTGCCTTGCACCCCAACAAGCACTCTTGTTAGCAGGGACAGATCCTGACTTGTTCACTGGAACATCCTCTGCAAGGACTAGAGCCCCACTTCCCCTACTGCAGTTATTATGTCCAACAAAACTCATCACTGTCAAATCAAAGGACCCCCGAGAGAGTCACTGTGGTAATGAGCCTCTTATTCCCTGATCATGTGGGTCAGATGGTCTCTGACAGTAAATAACAGCGTTCTACCCAAAGTTTAGCTTTGAAATCCATGGATCTGTAACTGAAAACACCTTTTTTTTTTGTTCTTATGGTTTAAATAAATAGTGTTTTCAATTTAGAACCCTGTAATGAGAGCCCACATAAAGTCAAAGCTGAGAATTGAATACACAATATCAGACTTAGCATAATCCAGTTACAGTCTGGGTGCTGGCTGTGAATCAATAGAGATTATAGAGTTGTTATTAGTCTGACGGTGAAAACCCAGTTAGAGGCTAATTCACAGCAAAGCTTTGAACTTTTGAAGATACTCGAGTCTGAAACACACACACACACACACACACACACACACACACACACACACACACACACACACACACACACACATGAATGAGGAATCTGTTTATAGCACACATATTTATTACAGTAGTTAGTTACAGTGGCGTCAAAAAATAAAGAATATACATCAATTTAAAACATTTTCAAGTTTCACACTTAAACCCACCACCCCCGCCTCATCCCAAAACATTTGTCATCTGCCATCTGACCCCCCCCCCTCTTTTCTCCACAAACTATATAATCACGCTGCAACACCTCTCCTCCCCTTACAGCTCCCTCCCTTCTGTTTTCACAAACGTCAGGCTGTAAAGAGGACGCAGCTCTGTTTGAAATCTCCGCTCGCTCGGTCTTCACAAGTGCTAATAAAACAAAAACAGCCAGAGCGCTGAGCAAAAATAGTAGGAAAATAACGTGTGTTTCATCCAGTGTATAAAGTTTTTTTCTGTTTTGCAAGTCAGTTCAAAAATTCACAACCGTGCTCTTTTATGTGACATAAATGAAAACTCATGTGGAGGAAAACAAACAAAAAATATAGACTTTCCCCACTTTTTCTCTGAGAATCTGAAGACTGAAGCAGCTGCAGAGCTCAGCCAGCTGGCTCCAGCTTCTCAAGTCCACACAGACGGCAGAGCTTGGACGTCCCGCTGCAGAACAGGAGGACATTACTATGAAATTTGTGACTGAAGGCAATGACAATTCAAAGTTCATCATCTCTTCATACACAACTGACACATAGTCTGTATTTTTAACAAGTGTTCCAGTGTTGAGAGCTGGGACTGTCCTGCAGTCATGTTTGTACTTCTCCTTCCCGCTCTCTAGACCTTGGTGGCAAGAGACTGAACCTCTGACTTCTGAGTCTGGGCGCTGAGAGTAGATGACATGGAGCTCATGTGGCCATGCATGGCCTTCTTCAGGTTGAGCAGGCACAAACACTGGGAACGAAAGCGCAGGTCAAAGAAGGCATACAGGAATGGGTTGAGGCAGCTGTTGATGTAAGCCAAGCAGGTAGCATAGGGGTGAGCCAGCAGCAGGAAACGCAGGAAGCCGCAGGAGCTCGGCGCAAGGTTCAGGTAGGAGAGGGCATCCATGCTCTTTAGGACGTGGAAGGGGGTCCAGCAGATGGCAAACACTACCACCAGAGTGGTGATGATCTTGAGCAGGCGCTTCTTCTTCTGGTCCTCCTTGCGCAGGTTGTTGAAGTGACGAGTGACGGTGCAGCCGATGAAGCAGTAGAAGATGGTCATGGCCAGGAAAGGTAGGAGGAACCCCAGGGCAGAGGAGGACAGGCTGAGTCCTGCAATCCACAGGTAATCATGCTTCTGGTTCATGGTCACAAGGCTGAAGTCCATGGCACAAGTGGTCCGATTGCTGTTCTGGTCATTCACAGTGGTGCGGAAGAGCAGAGTGGGAACAGCTAGGAGGCCGGACAGGAGCCAGATGGCCCCCAGGGAGGCCAGCATGGTGCCCCGCGAACGCAGCCTGCTGCTGGACAGGGAGTGCACGATGGCCAGGTAGCGGTCAAAGCTCAAGCAGGTGAGACAGAAAACACTGGCGTACATGTTGACCAAAACCACGTAGCTGCTAATCTTGCAGAGGGCCACACCAAACGGCCAGTGGTAGCCCAGAGCTGTGTACACAGCCCACAGAGGTAGGGTCACAACGAAGGTGAGGTCAGCGAGGGCCAGGTTTCCGATGTAGACGTCTGCAGCCCGACGCTTGGATTTGGATCGCCACACAGTGAAGATGACCACGCCGTTACCTGACAGGCCCAAGATGAAAATGAGCATGTAGAACACCGGGATGAGGGAGTAGGAAGGCTCCCACTCTGAGAAGTCACAGGCTGTTTCATTATCGTCATAATACTCATAATTGTTATCATATTCCCCCGTAGTGGGCTCCATGATGCAGTGCCCAAAAAAATGCAACAAAAAATTCCTTAACAGAGATAAGAGTCCGTATAGTTCCCAGGAACAAAAATACACAGAGGAGCAGAGGAGCTGCTGCTGGACAAGAGTGAGTGACTGTTGGTGCACTCTGCCTTTTAAACTCAGCCCTCCACACCCCGGTTCCCTCCCAGGACGACCCCCCTCTCCTCCTTCTTTTCCTCCTCCTACACTAAACATCTATCAGCACCCCCTCACACACACACACACACACACACACACACACACACACACACACACACACACACACACACACACACACACACACACACACACACACACACACACACACACACACACACACACACACTCCTCTCTCACCTCTCCTGGCTCGACCCATCCATCTGCACCAGGACGAGGAGTCCTGGTGCAGATGTAGACGGGTCTATTGTTGTTTTTATTATCCTTCAATTGTAATCTAGTTTGCAACTTTATTTTGTAAACTAATCAAATTACAAAATTAACTGATGGCTCAAGTTACCAGACATCAGCTGTTGTGATGTGGAGGAAACCACGTCTCTTACATTCTGTGAAGATGAGCTCTGCTGTGTGTGGCGAACAATTTAACTGACACTAATAGAATGATGAGCAATTAATGATGTCACTGTTAAAACAATAAGCGCTGGTGCCACCAATCAGACATTAGACATAAATGCTTCAAGCTGTACAATCAGAAAATCTGAAGCAGAAATAAAACAGCAGCTGAAGTTTAAATTATGTTGGTCAAAAATGATTTTTAAATCTGGAAATGAACAGACAGATCAGATATCTAAATCCTTGAGATCTGAGATGGAGTCGACCATTTCAGCGGTAAGCTATAGCATTAATAATGTCCATCCATCCATTTTCTGAACTCACTTGTCCATGTAGGGTCGCGGGGGGGGGGGGGGGGGGGGGGGGGGGGGGGGCTTTAAACACTCAAACCCTTGCGGTCAACGGGCAATCAGGCGTGGTACACCCTGGACAGAGAGCCAGTCCATTGCAGGGCAACACAGAGACACACAGGACAAACAATCATGCACGCTCACACACACACACACATTACACACACACACACACACACACACACACACACACACACACACACACACACACACACACACACACACACACACACACACACACACCTAAGGACAATTTAGACAGACCAGTTAACCTAACAGTCATGTTTTTGGACTGTGGGAGGAAGCCGGAGTACCCGGAGAGAACCCACACATTCACAGGGAGAACATGCAAACTCCATGCAGAAAGATCCCAGGCCGGGAAGCGAACCCAGGACCTTCTTGCTGCAAGGCAACAGCTCCTTAATAGTTTCCTTCATAATAAATCTATTATAGCCTGTTACTGATCTATAACAGTGTCATGCATGTGACATAATAAACACGAGAAGCTCTGCAAACATTTCCTTTTCTCTCCTCTTGCAGAAAGCTCATTTTAATGTTTATTTTATTGTAATACTGGTTTAAATAAATTAGAAAAACAGGTCTGGACGTTTCCAGTCCTTGTTTTCCATCACAAAGGTTAAAGGTGCAGAGTTACATCACATTTAGTTCTTTCTTTGCCAACTTTCTTTGCTCTACTAGTGTCAGTTTCCACTTTTAAATGTCTGATCCATCAAAGAAACTGGATGCTTTAATAGATCATCCCAGCAGATTGGAAGTAATTAAATCTAGATTGCATTCTAAGAGCTTTAATCTGTACTTTTAAAAGATTAAAATGTCAGTGGAGGCAGCAGGAGTGAGGTGTGTGAATTTAATTCACAAGTCTGCAGCTTAATTTGCACGATAAAAGGAAGAGCAAATGCAAGCTTTGTGGAAGTTAGCAAAAGGTAATTTCAAAAGCGCCTGCCTGCAGTGTGAACGTAGCCTTTTAGTTCACACAGAAACCGTTTTTTACTTGTTATTTTTGAAACGTGATCGTCACAGCATGAAAATAGTCTTCTACCCGTTTCCTGCATTTGCCGCCAAGTATACGGTGAGAAGATCGGATTAGAAACATCTGCCATTGAAAGATAGCATTCATGAACTCGCCCGTCTGGACCAGATGGGGGAGGCTGTTGTTGGTTTAGCATTCAGGAAACAGCAGGGAACGTCTCAGCTAGCAGAAGCTAACTGTTAGCATTAGCAACTCCACCACACAGCAAAACTCCATCAGGCTTGTGGTAAACATCAACTTTTCGGAGCAAATGGAGTCAGCGGTAAAGTTGCTTTGCTGTTAGCCAATCAGAAGAAAGATATCCAAATCCTGTTGTCTTCTGCTTCCCTCTCCTCTGGCTAACTTCTACCCCTGAAACAGGAGCACCAGAGCTTTTCTCCTACACTGCAGATGTGTTGAAAGAATTGAGTGAACTTGGTTTTTAAAGATAAAATGCAAAATAAATGAATAAAAACACAAAAAGCGTTATCCTGAAGTGTCAATGAGAATATTTTTGTTGGCCTAATATGTGATGTGGACTGAGTTTTAGTGAGAAAGCAAGTCTGAGCAGTGATGGGCATTATTTACAGCCCATTTATGATGGACAATCGGTGCAAAACAATCCTCAGTGTAGTGATTACAAGGAGGTATTACATACATTGTCAAGAAGAATAATCATCCTGTAAATACACAGCTAAGAAAAATATTTGATGGAAGATAGAGCTGGCTTAGGTCACATCTTATCAGTGTGCAGCGATTGACTGCTGGAGCATCCAGAGATGGCCAAGCAGAGATAAATTTGGCAGAAAATTCCTCTTTTTTGAATTATTGTGGAAGTGTCCGAGTCCAGCTTTTCATCAGAGCACGTTAATCTGGTGAGAAATACGGAAAGCTAGTTATTATCACATGTAATCTTGTTCTCATGCATCATGAGCAAGATGTGTAGTAAGATAAGAAGGATGTATCCTCCTGGGTAAAAATCTGCAAATGTTTCATTACTATGTTGTTATTATTGGATTCACACACACACGCATGCACACACACACCTGGAGCTTCTCAGCCCTGCCTCACTCCCCCATGGAGAGAGCGGACTGACGCCTGCAGCTTGCAAACCCGGTATCCTTTCTGTAAATAAATTTGCAAATTGAAAAAAAAAAACCCTAAAAGCACATAGATAAGAAACAGATGGTCAGATTAGACCATCATCTTATCTTCAGAAGACCTCCTCACTTGCTAATCACAGTTTTTAAAGGTGCCAAGATAAAGTCCTGCAGCTGATCCGGGGGTGGGAGGAGAGTCATCGGCTCAGAGTGACGTCTGACTCAGGCTTAGTTCCTTTCCAAATGAAATATATGTGAACAAAACTCACGTTTGACTTTAGTGTGGTATTTTCTTTCCAGCACATGAAGCTGCAGGGACCGCGCCAACAGACACATAGCTGCAGAGCATCAGAGTTTTGTGTCTCCTGACTTAAGACCACACGTGTGTCCAGCCGTGGCTGCTTTGAATCTGCTGCTGTGATGTAACCACTTCAGTCTCACCATCATTATGTTCATCAAATCAGTTTAATCGGAGGTTTTGATGCCATCATGCGTTTATTCAACAGTCCCAGGCTTTATCCTTCAGAGTCATGATCTGAGCCAGTGACCGGAGACTTGGGGAAGATTTGCAATGGACACATGTCAGCTCCAGTCTGGAGGAGATAACAGGCTGAAGGTGTAATCTGTGACCTCAGCTTTGTTTGAAGTGTAAAAATTTGCCGTCAGCACTCAGATTCTTCCCCGACTTTCCTTGATTTGCAGCTAATAGAAGCTTCACAAATCATGCTGAAAGTCCAGAGGCCTGGGGTTGCAGGGGGTCAGGGGTCACAGCAGAGTGTCACCTCGGACACAAGATTGATCAGCAAGTTGTTGCTCTTTTATTGGAGCAGTCTGTGTGTAAAGAGAGTGAAATAACTCACACTGGACACAGATTGCCTTTCCATAAAGTCTCAAGCCTGTGAGCCACACTTTTTTCACATCAGCTGACTAAATGCCATCCGTCGACTGACAAAGTTGCACTCCAGTGTTGTGGAGTCGATCGGGTTTGCCGACTGTTCCTACATCTTGTTTATCCACAGTTCGTATGCTGCTGCACAGATGGCCACCTTTAAAAGAACAAAAGAAAGCTAAAAAATTAATCTCATTGTGTTCAGTGGGAAATTGTGCTCCTCATCGATCTGGAGGTCAGCTCTTTCCCACACATCTGCTAACTTTTGGCCAACGTTGAACTGAGCAGAGACGACCCTCCACCCACTCATAAGTAGCACTTGCCTTTAAAGGTCCGGCCCTATTGTTTTAATTTGTCGCTCTTATGGCTCCTTTTCAGTTAATGAGCAACACACCTGTTATGAGTTTGACAAAAATGTTCTTACCTTATCAGTTTTTCACAAAATCTAACTGAGTGTTGTTTCTTTAATCTCAAAAACTACGTTTAATTACCACCTTTAGCACACATTAGGACAAAAAAAATACTTACATCATGTATTTATTTCTAATTATTCATTTTACCAGTTCCTTAGTGTCTAAATAGCAACTTATTTGTTCGCTGTTGCAGTGTCGGCGAACTGATCCAGGATGGTGAGTTAGTTTCTCTTCAGCTGAAGTCAGGCTGTCTGTGCCTGGGAGACGCTTGGGTCTGACATTCAAATCAAAACCCAAACACCGTCCAGCCAGAGCCAAACTGCAGCACAGACTTCAGGACAACCATTATCGCTGCCTCATGAGACAGAATCTCAGCAATTTATTTGCCGCTTATCTGCCTTCTGAAGAGCACGTCAGCCAAGAAATAAACACTCAAACCCTTGGCTGGGTTTCCATCACTGCAGAGGACATGATGGTGACAGATGTGAGTTCAGTCCTGATTTCGTTCCGACTTGATAAAAGTTTATTTATTCATGGAGGAATGTTGTGAGTGACATTCTTGTGCATTTGAGCAAATCGTGAAAAGATCTGTGCTTTTTTTCTCATTTGAAAAGATCACATTTGTAAGGAACAAAGGAGATGGAAGCAGGTAATCAGGATGTTAGAAGTGAGCCAACAGCTCGGTGCAGCTGTTCTCTCTGCTCGTCCATCCTTCTTGTCTGTGCTCATCCAGTAGCTTGGTCAGGAACAACAAGGTCACAAGGTGTTTCC